AGTCGCGCGGCCCCGATCACTGGTTGTTCGCGGTCCGGAGTTGAAGACCCGACTGATGGAAACGCACGCAGAAACCCGGTATAGCCGAGGGCGCAGGCGCTCCCAGTTCCTTCGCGCGATCCTCCTCGCTTCCAGCGGGACCCCCGCCAGCCTCTGTTGCTCGTCCGGCTATCTCTCATCCTCCCTTCCGGAAACGCGCGCGCTATCCCCTTCGACGCTCCGTACTCCGATCTCGCCGAAGGTCCTCTCTGCGGCCGACTCGGAGACGACGCCGGCCCAAGGAACAGGCTTTTGTTTTTCGAGTCGTGTTGTTCCGCGATGCACCGTGGGAATGTCATCCGTGTGTAGGGGGCTGGAAAGGTTGCTGGCTGGAACTGTGTATCGGTTCTGAATGGAACTGTAGTAAGTGGGATGTTTGAACGTCTATTCACACGGTCGAAGTATGTAATCAAGTTAATCGTTTACAAAGATTCATTAGGTTTTTATCTTAATGCGAAGTCGATTTCTATATTCAGGCCAAAGAACTTACCTTCGTCATCTTCGACGTGGACCTTGCCATACCACTTCGCAATATTGAAATTGAAATGTCTCTTACACTAATAGCTTCTGGAAGCAAGTAGCTCGATATTGCAAGTCGCATCGATTAATGCATGAAGCCTTATATACGATGCTTACATTTCGTAAGAAAATTACTTTCACGACAGGTTCTCGTATCTTCTGTACTGTCTCAAAGACACATCCCTTATATCATTTTCAAACTTCCGATATAACACACTCTCGAGAAAACGTTCCGTACAAGTGCAATAAACAACATCGAAACGCTGCACACGCGACAATCCATAGCTGTCAATCTCACTATCCCCGCGTATTACCTAAAACACTGCATCGCGGTTCAATAAAATCTAGGTTCCCCTTCGACCCTTCTCCGAGAATACTGAAAAAACCACTTCCCAACAATCCCTCGTCCCCGTGATCTTCCGTTTCTCCGATGATCCAAACTCTCGATACCCTATCAATCCCTTCCACTCCCGTCGAGCGTTCCCGAGCGGAGATCTTGATTCGCCGCGGGAAAGTTTCCATTCCATCGGCGGTCCAGGTGACCGGGTAGGTCTCGAGTCGATCGTAAAACGCGATAGCCCGCGCGCAGTCGATGGAACTCGATTAAATCTCGGCGCGGGGATTGCGCGTCGCCTCCTGGCCCGGCGTTGATCGCCGTGGCTCCCGTCGTTCGGCAGAAATTTTTCCTCGCCGGGCTCGAACTCGTCACCGGAAACGCGGCAGGGACACACGGGCAGCCCGTGAAACGAACCGGACGAGATGTTTGAAGAGGACGAACGTAATTTCGCGCGGTAATAGACAGATCCCCCGGCCTGGACGTCGCCAACAGCCGGGAGTCCTCCATCAGGACACGCTATTGTGCCTCTTCTATCGAGTTACCTTTGATTCCGTTCGCCAGAATTAATCTTTCCCCCCGTCCTCTTCGAGTTTCGGATCCTTTCCTAACTCCCCCGCCCCGGCGGCACCGCCATCCCGGACAGCGGGACGTTCATTCGTCTCGTGGCCCGGTCTAATGCAAATTCCGAAAACGCTCCGGAGCCACGGCCATAAATCAGGTTAACGTTTTCCACGTTTGCCGGGTACGCTGGCCCCCGTGTGTTTCGCGCGCGCCGCGCACCAGCCGCTTCATACTGCACCTACGTCCCGCTCCACCCCGCCGCCGCAGCTTCGTTCCTCGCCGAGCAACATCCCCCGCCCGATCCACAGCGTGATTATGATGACGGCGTGCTCGACGAAATTGCGGTTCGCCCGTTAAACACTGTGGTCTAATCTCAATTTCTAATTCTATTTCGAGATGAAGCGTGGAGTGTCTTTGCAGCGGCCCGCCGGATGTCCGCGACCGGCTGAATGACTTTTTTTTTATTCTTCCCGCATTAACATTTTAATTATCCGCCTTTTGATTCGCTGCGGCTGGATCCTCGTTGAGTATGGAACGGAGGTTTCGATGTTAGACCTGGCCTCTTGCGATTTGCTGCATAGTCTGTTTATGGTTTAAATAGGGTTTGTATTTTCAGTTGTAGCTCGGTTGAGCTCGGTTTGTCGAAATGATTGAGTTAGTGGGTTTGAGGAACTGTGTCTGGAGTAACTGTTAGGAATTCGATTTGATTTTTCATCTGATTTTACCTCCTAGGATCGTTTCTTATAGAGTTCGCTTCGCATAATCGGACTCGTAAGGTGACGTTCCCTCTCGGACAACGGTCTATAGACCCGATGATCGAGGGAAGACAAATTCCGGCGAAGTTTAGGCCGCGTTTGTTATTCTCATGGTAATAAAGCAATGTCGAGAGCACTTTGTTCCGAAAGCAGGAAGCCCTCAAGAGTAAACAGAGCTCGGTTCAACGCCGGTAACAAGAACGGAGGACGAAACAACATCGATCCGGGGCCGGAAAATGAATTCTAAATGAGCCGTGGAAACGGCTCGGCTTCGATCGTTATTTCAAACGAGCCCCCGATGTATTTATCGAAAATCATTAAGACTCGGCGGCGGGGGCAGGACGAACGAGGTCGCGTCGCGCTGAAAAATTTGTATTGCAGATTTTTCGGGCTGACCCCGCGATCCGTTTAATTACCGAATGGAATAATTATCATCGTGTCGCGTTAACGAGGAGAAACGATCATCCCCGGGCAAAATAACATCGACAAATGGCCGGCGCCGTTGCGCATCGGACCGATCACGATTGCCGATCGATGTCAGGTGTTTCGATGACTGTGAAATACGTATCGCTTCTCACGCGAAATGAAGGTATTTAAAACGTTGTTTCAGCGGCACTAATTTCTTTTATAAATAGAGCAAAACACGCGGGATAACGTGGTCTACGATTAAATTTCAAGAACTACACTCTCTCGAGATACGCGAGCCTGTTAAATCGTTTCACCGGTTTCTGCAAAGTTGCTTGTAGTCCGTAGTAGATCGCGTGAATGCGAGATTTCGTTCTCGTTCCTATCGATTTTTCACGTTTCTCGAATCGCAGCCTTCGATCGGTCAATTTGGCGTAGCCGAGCGGAGCAATTTGCACGGCTCGCTAAACGCAGGCGATGTCTTATGTTGCGTTATTAGTGAATTCCTCGGTTGTTAGTACACGAGTTCAATTTTCGAACTACTGTTCAGCGTTATGGTGATTGTAGAATTCTACTGGAGCGAAGATTCGAGATATGAACCTTGAAGTTTGAAGTTTGAAGTTTGAAGGTTATTTCACTAAGGCGACACGCCTTTTTAATGAGAAAGTAAGAATATTCTCTGTCGCGTCCAGCCTCGAGACAGGATCTTATCCAATGAAACGTCTCACAGTCGACGATGCTCGATTATCGCGAAGCTCGGCGCGAAAAGTAGCGAAGATCCCGAAAACGCAACCACGGTACACGGATCTTTAAATAGTAACAGATTCCTCGTGGACTTCGATCGGTTTCGTAGACGAAATTTGCGGTGCTTGTCCTCTGAATAATTTAGCTAGCTCGGTCTGAGCTATTTCCGTTCGATTCAATTTCCATCGCGAAACTCTTGGCGCAATGGCCTCGATTTTTACGAGTTTAGACGGTGCATTAACTTCGCGTGAATATTTTAAACTGTACGCACACGTGACGCGAATTCTGTTAAACGCTTCTTTAACCGTTACAATCACTCTTCTTGTTTATTCAATTTTTCTATGTACACATGAATAGACAACGTTCGAAAGAATTCCTTTCGAATAGAAAGTTTTCAGTTCCTCCCATGCGCGTTTCCGATAAAATGAAATTTCATGAGCGTATTAAACCCGTCGATGCTGGTGAGCATTTAATTAATTTCCTATAACAGTAAGATAATGGGAAACGATTGTAAACCAATTAATAATCCGTTCGAGGCAAAAGTCAAGCGGCATACCTCGGAGCTAAACGAAGTCGCAGGCGAGCGAGGCATGCCGGTGTACGCGATCGGTGTACAGAGGAGCCCGGAGTTCGATATAAACGGCGTTATGTTGGAATAGCTGCGCGCTATGCTAAGCGACACTCAATTAATGGGAGAAATAGCGCGCGAAATACGAATAAAGCGGAACGTACCCCGTACGCTCTGTACAGCGCGAAGCTGTTGGACCGTGTGATTCTAATTAGAATTTGCCGAACCGAACGAAATCGGCAAACGCGTCAACGGTGTTCCACGTCAAACTGAATTTTTTCACAAAGTAACCCCCCGTTAGAAGCCAGATCGCAGATCGATAAGCCCGCCGGAAAATTGCTACAGACACCCGGCCCGCGTTATTCGCATTTTTAATTAAAGTCGCTAATGAAATCTATCGATTCGATGTTTCCCAGCGCGACCGCGGCACACTCATTTATTTCTCTATTCGTTAATCGACTCATTCGAATCGCAGCGACAACGTGTCGAACACTTTTGTCAAACCTCTCCAGAAGTAACTCAAAATTCTAAAGTCTCCTATACAACATTAACCTCTATAACACCTTCGTTTCTTAATTTACGCACGTTCCCTCATTAAGCTAGTTTCAATACTATCTATATCTCATCGGAAGACATTCAATATTCCTAAAAAACTGTCGAGTGCAAAGGGTTAACTGCTTCGTCCACACCGCTAACTGTATATGAATAGAATCTGAAACGCTAATTAAATCGAAACTTCAATATATCCGAAACGTCTAATTACAGGCTCACCCTTTGATACCTCCTCGAGCCGTTAACGCAGCTTCCATCTCCCCGTGAACTTCGCCGTTGGCAAACATTCGTTTCATTCCGATGAAACACGCGCGCGGGTGCGTGCGTCGCGCTCGTAAACCAGTCACGGAATAATCCTAGAAAAAGGATGAAGCGTCATAAACGGCGCAGGAACGGGTTTCATAACCGAATTACAGGGCCAGACGGTGAAAGTAATTTGTCTGTCCCCGCGATGATCAGTCGCGTGACTGGCACGCCCTTAC